TTCCTTTTTACCTTTAACCTTTAGTTATTTCAACTAATGTCCTAGAACTTGATTTCTTTGTTCCTTCTCATAAAATTCTTCAAAGCTTTAACAAGCTTCTTTTGTAAATCCAATATAGGAAAGTTTTCCAGGTCAGTCTTTTGCTTTGTTATTTGTATATCCCTTTTAATTATTAAGACATCCAGTTTCATTTGTATGTCCAGTGTTGCATCTTTTCATTCTTGTAGTGTCTCATTTTTAAATCCACTTTCAGATCAGTCTTATTCAGTATAACTTGATTCTCTTCCATAATATCTTTTAAACACAGTCTTTCTAGAGAAACAAATCATTTTAAAAATAATTTCTGGGTCCATTGTTCACAAATGTCCTTTAATATGTCCAATGTTAAAATATTTTGCTCCATTATATATTTGTAAGTCAAATTTAATTGTTCTTCTAAAAATTGTAATTTTTAGTTCCTTCTGGTTTAGTTCCTTCTAGTGTCCAACCTTCCAAGTCTCATTCTATCATTTTTTAAAAAAGAGAATTCAAAACAAAAGCATTTTCCAATGTTAATTCCAAAATTGTATTTAAAATCCATCTGCAACCTTAATCCAGTCATAACTTTCCAAAATCAAAGATCTAATCTCTGTTTTGTTTATTCCAAGAAAAAAATGTTTAACATCTCTACACTTCTATTTCAAACTTCTTTTGCTAAAAATTGAAAAAAGTCACCCGATGCTGTAAAATATATCACTCCAAAGGTTCCTAAAAGCTGAAAAGTAGTTAACAAGCAATTTCTGAAAATGATTAGAAAAGTAGTGAACCCAGTGTCCTTTTGACTGAGCTGACCATGGTTCAAGCAAAAAAAAAAAAAAGTTGTTCCCTCATTACCCAGAGTTTTAAACTTGCTAGAGATCACTATCATGCAGTCTCATGAGAAATAACTGTACGGAGCACTTGTGGGCAATCTGAAGTTCTCTCCTTGTTCAGAGAGGAATTACAAAGAGCCAGTTTAATTGCTGGTTCTTCATTTCACTATAGTTCTTGGCTTCACTTTTAGCAGAGCCATCTTCAGTTCATAGATAGCAGTGGTGCTATCTATCCTGCCTCTCTTGGTTATTTCTTCACTCAGCTGCACTATGGTGGTTTCTTCCATTTTAATGGAACATGCCATTTGAATAGTGAGCCTAAGTACACTTAGTTGGAAGCCAGTGTTAAGCCAGAGAGATTTACTTCCAAGTGTGGGTCTTTAGGATCAAGAAGCTGCCAAATGAAACAGCTGCAGGGACTGGAAGCTCTACTCTTCTGCCTGTAATTTGGTGTGGAATATCTTTGGCTGCTTATAAGTTGGCCTGCTGCAGCAGAAAACTTATCATTTTAGGGCCTTCATTTTAGTTCCCTTGATGATGCATGGTTATGAGAATTTAACCAGGCTGTCGCATTTCTTTTAGGACTATTAAATTTTATGTCTCACTGAATGTTGTTGTGAAAGATGTCATCTGTTTTAACTGATGAATGTCTCTTGTGTACAAAAGCAAAATGTAGACTTTGCAAGGCATGTGAATGGCAGAGCATCTTATATGAAAATCAGTTCATGAGTCTGAGTTTGAGATCACCACGAATGAGTCCTGAAATATGCTTTCAGTTCTAAAAGTGGTATCTGGGAAGCTAGATGTGACCTTCAATTATTTGGGTGTCTGAACCTGTACCTATTCTGCAAAGAGAATTCAAATGAATTGGCAAACTAAAACCTTAACGCTGGAAAAAGCTGGTGGTTCTCACTATTTTTGCCTTTTATGACTTTCCCTCCCCTCATTTCCCATACCCACTGCCTAAAATGAACCCTTCGCCTAATGAAAGAACCAGCATTATGTTAACAATATTGCAAATGTGTCCTTGAGCACATGCAGAATGGTCTCCTGATCTTTAAACATATGAGGTGGTCTGAGGTCTTCAAAGCTCATTGGTGCATCACTGTGGATAACGGAAGCTCTTTCCACTGACTGCTATTCGATTTTGCAACTCCCAGGCTAACTATGAATCAGTTCCAGACTTCTAAGCAATTCCAAGAATTCAGTAATAACACTGACAGCAACACAATATTAATACTAAAGCATGCACACTGCCCAGTATGCAATTGTATCCGTAACAGCCGTTTTGTTCTCTTTCCCCTCTTCCAAATAATAACGAAACCACAGAAATACATTATGTTAATAACAGGAATAAAAGTACACCCGCCCAAATGTTAACTCGCCCCTTGGTCACGAGAGACACGTGGTCTCGATTGCTCAGGACTTCTGGTGGCTTGCAATAGACTCGTGGCGGGGGGGGGGCTTGCAGCACCTCGTAATTTACGAGCCCTCGGAACTGTTGGTGGAGTGTCCAGCGCTGGTTGCCGTTTGTAATAAATAATGAGGCCCGCAGACGGCGAGAAGGCCTTGAAAGGGCGTCGCTCCTGGTGTATTTTCTGCCGTAATTGCGTCTCCCGAAGGCAAACTAAATCTTCCCTGAGCTGCTGTCGCCCCGCGCGCCAGCGAGAAAGATCAGAAGAAGGGAACCGAGGGGGAGGGGGAGGGGCGGCCTGGCGGAATGCGCCTGGTTCTAATTGCGGAATGTAGGGCAAAGCTTCCGTTCCGCCCCCGCCTCCTCCGCCCCGCCCCTGAGCCTGAGCCTGCCTGGCGTCGCTTGTGGCTCTCCCGCGGTTCTTTCAGCAGAATCCCAAGCAGACGTTTCTCCTCTAGGGAAGGGCGGCGGGAGTTTTCCAATCTCGCGGGGGAGGGGTCAATCGGACCTCTGTCGACGCAGGGTCTGCTTTGTGTGTTATGATTACGGCAGTCAGGGGGTGGTTGCTGGCCTCTAGTAAGGCTTTCGCGAGTCTTCCTCCCTCACACTTTCTTCCTTTCCTCCTTTCCTCGTTCGCAGCCTTTCTCAACCACCAGGCCGTGTTGCTTGCTGCCCGGGGCGTTGTCTCTCTTTCGCAAGCGAGGAAAACGGAAGGAGATGCATTTCCGAGCTTTTTTTTTTCTCTCCCCTTCCCCCCCAGGGGCTGGGAAAGGAGAATGTCAACCATTTCGATTTAGCATTTCAATGCCGCTGAACGCACCCCTTCCGCAGCAAGATATTGCCGTTTAATGTAACTCGCTTCTAAATACCGAGATCGAAATAGGTTTGGCTTCCATGAAAGTGGACGGAACCTGGAAGCGTGGGGAAGATTTTCAGCAGCCGATTCCACAGTAAAGCTTGATTCGAGCTAAACGGTTCTTTTCGCCCTTTCCCTCTTCAGATACGACTCACTAAAAGCGGGATGCAATTTGGTCAACGCGCCATTTCCCCAATCTCTTTACCTAGAAAATTGCTCCAGTGCACCCAACATAATTTATTTCCAATCAAGTCAGTGTTCATTACTGATGTGAAGCTCACAAACCAAAGAGACTTGAGCAACTGTCTTAAAAAACAACAACAACCCACATACACGTAGGCTAATATGCTCAGAGGTAAGACTCAATGAGTCCAATCAGTTGCATTTAATCCCCATTAAATCTCTTTTAAGATTGAAGTTTTAGTGCTGGAAGTAAATTATTTGCAGTGTGCTCCAAGGTCAGTACCAGGATGTGTCAGAAATAAGTCCAGCTGAAATTGGATGGAATGACTTCCAAAAACACATGAAGATCTGGCAGCATACTGAATTTCCATTTAAATATTGGATTGAGTTAATGTATTTATACAAGATTGAATCGGATTATTTCAAGCTAGCCTGTTTCCAAATTTAGAACTGCAACCTTCGAAATCTGCAAAGCACAAGCAGCAGTTCTGCTCATTACTCCATGAGTCAGTTTCTGACTTTAGATGGGACACAAAAGGTGGCTTCTCCCATTTCTTTAGGGAAACTGACCATTTTAGCAGCTTCACCAGAGATAAAAGAGCTTGAAAGTGGCTTGTGATTTTCAGAATTGCATCATAACATGCCACCATAAGACAAAATAATTTATGGCTGCATTTTTAAATAGCCATTATGATGTCTTGAAAGAAGTGTGGAAGGAAGGAAAAACCTGCATTGGAATCCACATTCTGTGTTATAGTAACTCTTTAATATGGGAGGAAAACATCAGCATAACTACTTCGATTAATATTATATGTCAAATTAGAATACACTGCCCAGAAAAAAAACATCTAGAAATAGAATAAAATATGTTACTATTATACTGCGATGTTGCTTAACAAAAAAATGGTTGGCATTTAAGACGCATTCTTTCACTAATTCTGGGTAAATATTCTTTCCTACTCCATTCCAAAAATTATTTAGAAAGAGGTTAACTTATATAGCATTAACTTATGGGCAAAGTAGGCAGAAAACGTATCGAGAAAACGGAGTCAGGGAACCCAGGGGCTGTTAAGTGCTTTGTCTCAAGCATGCATGTTTTGGTGGAAGTAACACCTGGTCATCAATAGTATACAGCTGGCTATGTTTTTTTAAAAAATGTTGAGAAAAAATGAAATGGAGAAAAGAAGAAAAGAATTACTGCAGCAGAAATCTCTGATAATTTGGGGCCCAGTTAATTGTAATTAAATCTGTTAAAATATCTTTAATTTTATTAACAGGAAGTGAACTGCCCAGAAAATAATGTGTATTTGAAAATAAATTCCCCTGAAATCTGGCAGATTTTATTTCCATTAATCTGTGCTTAGCTGGGGTGGGTGGCTGGGTAGTTTCAAACAACTGCAAGATTACATCAAACAGATTTGTCTGCTTATTATGGTTATTCTTGATGGGCAAGAATGGGCAAGAAACCCTGTCTCCTGATGATTAGGTGTATAAACCTATATGAAACAACTGTTTTAGCAAGCTAATTACCTTCCTTTTGCTTATACCTAACTACAACAGCAAATGACTTACAAAGAAAAATATGGATAATTATATAAGTATAATTTTTTTACAATAATCATTGTAGAGCAATCATATTATAGATAAATACACATACACAAACCAGAAACAACTGTAAGAGCATAATGGAACCTACCGGCAGATTGTTTCGAGATTTTTCTTGTCATCCAGGTCTTGCGGATAGTTGGCAATGTTTTGGCCCATCTTGACCACACAATCCGAGAAGCCCTTAAAGACTGCATCACACTTGCTTGCTTCTTTGACTGCCTGCACCAGGTATGCTGGAGAACAGATCAGCACCATATCAGCTGGACAGCTCCCAACAAGATAGCAGCATGCTATACCCACCCCTAGTTTGATTCCAGAAAACCCCACCATTAAGTGCACCTTCCTTTCACCTTCACACAGCTGCCCCAAAGCTACAATAGGAGCAGGATCTGCTCTTCTAGTAACTCTCTTCATCTAAAACCACCAACACCCTTTTACATGAAATTGGATAAGCTGCATTTGAAACGAAACAGAATAGATCTGAAGCACAGCTAGATCAAACTCTGTATTTAGCTCTTCCTTAAGTGACTCTCAAATAGCTTAATACATAAAGCTATCATTGCAACAGCAGCAGCAACAATTATTTTGGGTTATCTGACCGTTATTTATCTTAGAATCCATTTTGAATTATTTTGAAAAGGTGTTCCTAGAACTTTTTTTAATTTTATTTTCTGAATAATATTACAGTAACATTAGCAAAGAGCTGTATTGATTCCTGAACAGAGACAAATGGCTGGAATGAACTTTAAAGCCAGCCACATTGTTGAGATTGCTAAAACTGCCAGCCACATTGTTGAGATTGCTAAAACTGTCTCTTAAGTAGGTTTCAATAATCTACAGAGCAGAAGGAACATTACTAAGATAATTTCAAAACCAGGAAGTGTATATACATTTGTCTATAGAGGATGATGAACGTATCATGGAAGTCATCAAATGTAGACAGACGTTGAAGTATTGTTTTTTATCATTTCTTTCTGCAATCAAATCTCCTGCCTGCCTTCTCTGCTCCCTCCATGTTGCTCCATGAGTAGTTTGGTAGTTGGAAATGGGGAGGGGGGATGTACATGTTTCTATCTGTTTACAAAAGTGAGGTAACACGTGTAATACAAAGTGCTCCTATGCAAATGATACTTCTAAGTGGATTGTAAGTATAAAGGAATATAAACAGTGGCTGACATATTGGATGCATGCTCAGTCCTTGTTTTCTGGTCACTCCTCCACCGCTTTCCTGATTCTCTCATTCAGGTTGAGACAAAAATATATTTTGGGGTCTCCCTCTCATTTACTCTCTACACCAGTGTTTCTCAACCTTGACAATTTTAAGGCATGTGGACTTCAACTTCCAGAATTCCACAGCCAGCATTGCTGGCTGTGGAATTCTGGGAGTTGAAGTCCACATGCCTTAAAATTGTCAAGGTCGAGAAACACTGCTCTATACCATTCGCCTTTGTTGAGTTTCTCTACCAACCCAACCTTGCCTCTTCTGCTGTCCCTACCCACCACACACATCATTGGTGCTAATTCCCCGCTATTCATCTTCTGCCTCTCACAAGGAGCCTTTAAGTCTCATTGCAAGATCTTCAGGGAAGCTGAAACAAGGGCACCCTTTTCTGAGAAGGTGATAATGTGACGTCCTTTCTCGGGTGCAGCCCATATCAAAGTCATGCTCTTGTTCACTGGCATGATTTTGTTAGCATGTAAGATCTCTCCCCCAAAGATTAGGGTAGTCCTTCCCACCTGGTATTCTTCAGATCTGTTTGACTACACCACTCACGCTCAGCCAGAATGGTAGGAGTCCTGTGTATCTGAAGAGCACCAGACTGGAAACAGTACATTATCTTCAACCCATGGAACTTGATTGCAAAATCAGATTTGATCACAATGGATCTGAAATGCACCGGTGGTTTAAAAAAAAAAAAGTCTCTCCCGGTGGGATGTGCATGTGTGAATGAGAGGTAGTTTGGTCATTGTTGCTCTATGTTGGTAACTTGATTACATTGCACAAACATCAATCCAGCCCAATTTCTCTGCTTTTGTGAGAGCAGGTGAATGGCTACAGAGCAACATACGGGCAATTTATCCCTATCAATCCTGCAGCAAATGAAAAGGAATTAGTGACTTCTTGGTTTTAAGAGTGATCGCTGGCTTGATCCTGAGCAAACCATTAGCTATCCACGTCCATATGCTTCAGCGTTCTGCAGCAATCTGAAAGCCCCTTCCAGCCCCGGGAAGGCAAGCGAAGGATGGGAATTTGCAATCGGGAGAAGGGATTTTTTCCACCCTAGAGATTTTCGTACTAATCCTTGGGGAATACGGTGTGTGCGTATATTTAAAGTGGATAAGTAAAATATAGCCTCGTTATTACCAAACCCCAGCACTGCTAGAGCTTGTCTCATCCCCACCGGATTATATCGTTAACCCAATTTAGTAACCACCTCCCTCTTTTTTTGAACTCACTCCCCCGCATCTCAAAACACTGCTAGACTGCAGACGTTGGCTGCCATACCGAACCTATAACCAGTAACGTTCACAGGAGACCAGTCCAACAATAAACCCTTCCTTCCTTCCTCCCTCCCTTCCTTCCTTCCTTCCTTCCCTCCTTCCTGGCTGAGGCCTGGGCAAAGCTCCTCTGGATCGTGTCTTCTTCCCACTTACAGACGGGTACAAAGGGAGCGCTGGATGGGGGGGGGAAGGGCTAGGGATCTGAATCTCTCTATTCCCACCTGTTCAGCTGGCTAGGTTGAGGTTGCCGTCGCCTGGACGGAAAGGGGCTACAACCTTGGAGGTTCCAAATACAGTCGTGCCTGAAATGGACACATTTTTTGGGGGGGGGGGAAGAATCTCACCAGGGATTTCAGTAACATCTGCCAGAAAGATTTTTTTTTTTTTTTTTGCTTTTTTGATAAACAGGCGGCCCACTTGCACGGTGAAAGAAGAAACCAACAAAGCCTCGGTCACAACTGCAAGCACGCGTACGCCCCAATGCGGGATTCGATTCTCCTTTTTTTTTTTTTTTTTATGGAGGTGTTAAGCCCTGGCAACTGGGGAGAGCGAGGTGGATGGGTATCTATAGGTATCTAGCCGTCGCGTTGCTCCGCCGCGTGTTTTCACATCCGCAGTCTCTCTTCTCCTCTCTCTCCTACCTTTGCTTTTAACAACCTTGTTTTCTCGGAAAGGTCAACCGTTCGGGATTCATTCCAGACATCCTGGTGCAAGGGAGTCCAGGCCAAAAACCAAAACCCCTCTTTCGTTGTTGTTTTTACCCAAAGCAACTCTCTCGGACCCGTAATTCTGCCACGAGGCTAGAATCAACCGCATCCAGGTGGGTAAAAAAAAAATAAAATAAATGCGCAGCAGGGGGGAAAGTTTATTATCCAATACTTCCACAAAGGCTGGAAGTACAACACAAACCAAAATGAAAAGATAGTAAGGGCGCCGTAGCGCACGCGCATTGCACAAACCAAGTCGCCCTTCCGCTGCCTGTTTTCCTTAACATTTTGTGCGCCTCCAGTTTGAGCCTTTCCCAAAACCTCTACGTGGGGAGGATACTTGCAGGCAAACGCTAAAAAGAACAAACGAAGCCCCTTCCTTTCCAGGCTGGCTCGTGACACTACCGCATCTTTCCCGGCCCAGAGGTAGGAAAGGGAGGACAGCAACGCCTATTTCTCGGGATAGAAACGCGCCAATTTCTTCTACAGAAACGGAATTCCAACAGTTAAAACACCGCCGGGCGAAGCTGCGGAAAGAGGACAAGAAGGGGCGATCCTAAAGCCTTAACAAGAAAACACCCAACAAGATTTGGGGCGGAATTGCAAAATGCCTTCCGTTCTTTTCTTATTTCCACGAGAAAAGTCAACCCGTTTCCCGGCCATTATTTTATTATTCTTTTCGGAAAGCACGAAACGTCTACAGGAAGGGTCTCCCCTCCCTCTCTCTCTCTCTCTCTCTCTCTCTCTCTCTCTCTCTCTCTCTCTCTCTCTCTCTCTTTCTCTCTTCTCCCCCACGCTTCTGTTCCCAAAACGCTGCAGAGATTGTCTGCACAGAGAAAAGCCGCCGAGAGAAATAAACCCGAGACCACCAGATTTGGGACAGGAAAACTCCGGGGAGGAGGTGGGGGAGCGAGATATATTCTAAAAGGAGTGCGTGCGGACGTGTTTGTGCTTTGCAGGTCCTTTAAATCAAGCATCCTTGACAAAACGTGGAAGGGCATGCTTTTTCTGTTAAGCTGCCAACCGCAGCGGCTTTTTTTTTTTTTGCCGATCACCCCCCCCCCCCGCCTCACAACGCGCATCTCCTCTAAACAAGCCTCGGTGCAGATGTGAAAGTGGCCCTAACTTCCAAGCGCCTCTAACAACTGCAAAGCCAGGCTTTCAGGGACAAAAATCAGGAATATTTTAAGCTCCCCTTCACTAATCTAGAGAGAAGCGCGCTCGTTTTAACACACACACACACACACACACACACACACACACACACACACACACAGGGAGAGAGAGAGAGAGAGAGAGAGAAGGATCAAAACCTACTCCCTAATAGAATTCCCGCCGAAATGTCTATTTTTGAGCAAGACTTTTCACGACAGCCGCAAGGAAGATGTCTGAAACTCGGTTTGATTCCCTTTCGATTTCTTCCCTTCGATCTTCCCTCCCCTCCACGTTTTTAACACAGCACAAAAAAATGCATCTCCAGCACCCTTTGACAGAACACCACACCTGGGACAGGAACTTTGAACTGGCACTATTTGTTCGCAAAGCAACATCCGTAATAATTGAGACACATTATTTGCGCCCTCTCTTTCTCATATCTCGGAGGGGAAGAGGTGAGAAAATTTAGCTTCGGACAAATAGGATGAATGCGTTCTGCCGTGATGCAATCTTACACACACACACACACACACATACACACACAGGCACGAGGGGTTGGAGGGGGGAGAGCAGCAAGATAAAACCATCCCGTTAAGAAATGCGACCGTGTGGGGGGGGGGAAGGGGAGAGATGAGAGAGAACATACACACCTATGATACCTCAAATAAACAGGCAAATATAGATAAAAAGCAGCCAAAAATGTTCTCAGCACATTATATCATATAACTGTATAACAAAAACGCTCACATTATCAGAGTCTTGTTAATGTAGATATTACGAGTTAGTGCGGGGCATTTGTTTGGCATAAGAAGAACAAGAAGAAAAGAAAAGAAAAGAAAAGAAGAAAAAAAGAAAAAGAAAAGGTAGGTAGGTAGGTAGGTAGGTAGATAGATAGGTAGATAGAAAAAAATAGAGAGAAGGAAGACACTTTAAAAACCCCAGCTATGTTCACCATGAATCCACTTACCTAGCTGCACAGCAAGGAACAGAGAAATGTATCTGCCGTTCAACTTAAGTCCCATCCTATATTTAGTACAACCATTTGCGACTGCAGATCGTCTTTCTTTCTTTCTTTCTTTCTTTCTTTCTTTCTTTCTTTCTTTCTTTCTTTCTTTCTTTCTTTCTTTCTTTCTTTCTTCTCTTTTCTTAAAGTGGGACTTGGGAAAATACGGGGGGCTTCTGTACGCCAGGCATTGCCAACAAGTTCCCTCAGCAGCCCTGAGACTTTTTTTGCACACACTAAACTGGACGGAAGGCTGAAGAGGAAGCAAGAGAGAGAGAGAGAGAGAGAGAGAGAAAGAGAAAAAGGGGGGCAGAAACAGAAAGAGGGAGAGAGAGGGAAGGAAGAGCAGGGAATGGTTCACTCCATTAGGAGGGGGCGGAGGAAGTATAGCCTCACGCCCACAGCCAACCCTGACGTGGGGGATGACACTGAGTGATTTCTTTTTTCTTAATGTGCACCTTGGAAGAGAGAAACGCCATTTATAGGCATCGCGAACTGGATTTAGCCTACTCTTTCTCCTCCACCATTCATCGGGGGAAAAGCCATTCTCCCCGCCCTCTCTCCCCCCCCCCTTCTTAGCCGCCAGGGTGAATGGCCTCTCTGAGCGGGCCGTGGCGAGTCAAGGAACGGCAACTGACTGCTTGCCCCCTTGGCCAAGCGCTGGCCAGCCCGCCTGCCATCTTCCCCAGCGTGGTGCCACCTTCTTCATGCCCAGGAGTCAGGCAAGACTTCAGCCAGACCTGCAGGGGGCGCACCTTCTCGCTCAAGGCGGCGTCCACTGTCCTTGTCCCGCAGGTGCTGGTGGAGCTGAGCGTCTTGCTCCCAAAACGCAAACAAGTTCTTTTGTCTGAATTATGTTTTAGGACTTGTAGCTAATAATCATAATACGCCGATACATCTCGACGTCCTAGGCTCTTGGGAGGAACTCCATGCGTATGAAGGCCAACGCCAGCTAAAGAACTGGCAGCTGCGATTTCACACTGTTGTGTATAGAATAGTAATAATAATAATGGTGTCGCTTTACCTTAATAATTCTTAGGTCCTCGGTTAGGACTTGAATTATTAAGTTTCCATCAGTGTTAGACTTTGAATTTAGTTGTAGGGGAATCACATAATAACGCCTCTCCAGTGCTTCAGCTGATGTATTTGAACACATGGGCCCTTTTTTTCCCTCCGAAAGGCTGCCTGTGCCGCCGCCGCCCCGTTATATAACGCAGCGCATCCACCAGCGGCTGGTGCAGACGCAGAATTGTTGCAATCAATCCCGCAGGCAAGTTCATGGAAGTCCCTTAGAATTCCAGAGACTTACTATAGCTCTGTAGACTTGTAAATGCACACAGAATCGAAAAGAACGGCCTGTAACTCGCATACTAAGAGCGTTTAAAAGGGGCTTCCCCACGCACAATGTTCCACCACGCCAGCGCCTCACTGGGTGTATAAAACCAACTGAGTTCCTCATTGGGTGTATAAAACCAACCTAGTTTCTAAAGAGCTCTCTCTCTCTCTCTCTCTCTCTCTCTCTCTCTCTCTCTCTCTCTCTCTCTTTATCTATCTATCTATCTAACGTCAGCTCTGCCAACTACCGTTTGAATTCGACTGGATTGTTCTAGGGCGGATTCAAAGATGCTCGGATTGGAATGACACCTCCGGGTCACGGTAAACACTGCAGAATGGGAGTGGAAAGGGGAGCCGGTCTTTTGTAGTCAGGTGAGGCGGCGAAGCCGTCTCGGGGAGGCGGATTACGGCGAGGAGGGAAAGGAGGGGGCTTTGCGGAGAGATCTAGAAGCCACCAGGGAGGGGTAGGGGAACTACACAAGCAGGCGCGATCCGATCGCCTGTCCTTCCTTCCCTCGCCTAGGCGGGGATAGCACGGCAGAATCTCCCTCCCCCGCCTCCGTGCTGCAGCTGCGGGGGTGGACGGGGCCTACCGCTTGCCGGATCTAGCCAAGACCGGCCCCTGCAGTGAGAAAGGAGGCGGCGGCGGCGGCGGGGGCGGAGGAGGAGGAGGAGGAGGAGAAGGATTTGGAGTCTCCCCTCCCCCACCCGCCAAGCATGACGTCACCTTCAAATGGCGGGAGGGGACAGCTGGTTTGTCCCGGCTGTAGTGCCTGCCCAGAATTTTAATCGGCCTCCTTTTCTCTCAGTTTAGGCTCGGTCTCCAAGCGTTTGAAGACCTAGAACCGATTTGGGACTGCGGGGGTGGATGGCATTTGGCCTCTTTCTCCTCTCAAGAGATGTTAAGGTTGGAAAAAGGGGGACTAGTTTGCCAGGAGTTTACTGGAACAGGCAGGACCACGTTTGAAAAGTGTGCTGCAGGCCGTGCTGTTAGGTACACTATAGGAGACAAAGGCAGAATGCAGCACAGAGTTGATTATATTAGAACTGCCATTGTTTGGACGGGCAAAATTTAGATTATTCCCCTTCATTGGTGCCTGATTTTCAGAGGCTGTCTGGACACTAGATGACAGGCAAAAGGCTGGACTTTTTGCGTCTCTTTGCTGGCATCTAGTGGTCAGCTGGAGTTTTGCAGATTAAATTTGGTACAGTAGCCCTAATTTTAAGTCATACTAATAATTAAAATCAAGTCAGATAATATGATCGCTATTCTATTGTGTGTATTTTCTTTTGTGACAAGTAGAATGAGGCACAGTACAGTAATTTGGAAGGGCTGCACTTAAGTTTAAAAGTTATTTGTGTGTCTCAGGCTTTTGTATACCTGAAGTAGCACAAGAAAGATAGGGAATACTAAGGGGCAGGGAGAGAATGTAACTTTCTTGATTTTCCCCACATTGCAGGGTTCAGGAAATTGAGACTCCCCAGAAGTTGTTGGACTACAGCTCCCATCAGAACCAGCTCACATGGCCATTACCCAGGAATCATGGGAACTAAAGTCTCATAGTATCTGGAAGATACATTTTTCATACTGTGCTGTGTTATGAATCCTGGGCTCCCTCAATGACAAAGATCAAGAGTGTAAGCCAAGGGTTGCTGTAAGATTGTATACAAGTACTTCATCTCTGTACAATAGCATGAAAGAGGTTTTAGTTATACAGGTAATCCTCGACTTACAGCAGTTCATTTAGTGATCATTCGAAGTTTCAATGGCACTGACTGTTGCAGCCTCATGGTCTCATGATCAAAATTCAGCTGCTTGGCAGCTGACTCATATTTATGACCGTTGCAGTGTCCCAGGGTCACTTTTGCGACCTTCTGACAAGCAAAGTCAATGCAGAAGCCAAGTTCACTTAACAACCGTGTCGCTAACTTAACAACTGCAGTGATTCACGTAACAACTGTGGCAAGAAAGGTCAAAAAATGGGGCAAATGTCATTTAACAAATGTCTCACTTAACAACAGAAATTTTGGGCTCCTTTGTGGTCATAAGTTGAGGATTACCTGTAGTTTTGATGGTACAGAGGAAGAACTCTATTTGTATGCTGGTTGCAGAAACATCAGTAGGTCTGTTCAGTACCCCTTGTGAAATGAATCACTTCCACCACCACAAATTGCCTTAAAACCATTTGCTTCTCACCACTGAAAAAATATTAGGTAAATGATCTTTCTGCATATGACTGGTCATAAACGTTTGTACTTTACAATAGGGCTCACCAACCCCCGGTCCATGGACCAGTACCGGGCTACAGCAGGCTAGCAACCAGTCCACACAAACAAGCAAAGACCTATCCACGGGATGCAGGCAGCACACAAAACCACACACCGTGGAAAAACCTCTCTCCACGGAAGCGGTTCCTGGTGCCCAAAAGGTTGGGGACCTCTGCTTTACAGGATTCCATCTTCTAGAAGCATGGAGATTTTTTTTTACTTTGACAGCAAGTTATTCCCCTTCCTCTCCAGGGCTAGGTCTTACATTTATGGATTTCAAACCTACATTTCATTTTTAAAAAGCCATTCCTCTTCCTCTTTCTAATACATCTGATTCTGGGATTTTAGTGTTCTTATATCAAGTTGGTTGCAAGAATAGTTCATTTCGTGAAGAAATGAAATTTTACCCGGTGTTTGTGAGGTTCAGATTTCTGGGTGACTTTGAGAAAGGGCTAGATTGTTAGGTATAACAAGCAATAGCAATAGCACTTATATATCGCTTCACTGTGCTTTACAGCACTGTCTATGTGGTTTACAAAGTCAACATATTAGCCCCCAACAATCTGGGTCCTCATTTTATTGATCTTGGAAGGATGGAAGGCTCAGTCAATCTTGAGCTGGTGAGAATTGAACTGTTGGCAGTTGGCAGAATTAGCCTGCAATACTACATTATAACCACTGTGCCACCTTGGTTCTCAACAAGGATGATTGAGGCCCCCACATTTTGCATATGGATGGAAGCATATCCAGGTAGGGGTAGCAAAGTCCTGCCTGAAACTCTAGAGAGTTGTATCCCTCTGTGCTAGTAGTACTACCCACCCAGGTGGACCAAAAAAGACTGCTTCTCTGAGTCAACCTCTGTGACTATAAGACTCAATCAAGCAAACCACATTATAGGTAGTTCTTGACTTACAGCTACAACTGAAGCCAAAATTTATGTTAAATGAGAGTTACCGTAAATGCCGGCGTACAAGGCGACCCGGCGTATAAGACGACCCCCGTCTTTATAGCTGGGCCGCATTCCTAGAACGTCGTCTTATACGCTGGAAACTACCAGTATTTCTGGTGTGTAAGACGACTCCCATCTTTGGCGCCGATTTCAGCGCTCGTGGAAGTCGCCTTATACGCTGGCATTTATGGTAAGTGAATTTTGCCCCATTTTATGACTTTTCCTGCCACAGTTGTTAAGTGAATCGCTGCAGTTCTTTAGGTTAGTACAAGGGTACGCAACTTTGGCTCTTTTATGATTCGTGGACTTCAACTCCCAGAATTCCTGAGCCAGCATGGAATTCTGGGAATTGAAGTCCACGAGTCATAAAAGAGCCAAAGTTGCCTACACTTAGTAACAAGGCTGTTAAGTGAATCTGGCTTCTCCATTGACTTTGCTTGTCAGAAGGTCACAACAGGGGGATCACATGACCCCTGGACACTGTAACTGTTATAAATATGAGTCAGTTGCCAAGTGACTGAATTTTAATCATGAGACCCTGGGGAGGCTGCAACAGTCATAAGTGTGAAAAAAAACAGGAGTCCCCTTTTTTTAGAGCTGTTGTAACTTCAAACGGTCACTAAATGAGTCAAGGACTACCTGTATACTTTAGTGTGCTGTATGAACCAGGCAAGCATGAATCTGGCTACTGGAATATTTTGCTTTGTTATCAGCTGATAATCCTTTATGATCTCCCCTGTTGATTGGAGGTTAAACACTTACCTCACAGAAAGCAAATCCATTTATTATCAGATTTAAATCCCACTGAACTCAGAATAGGTTCTCAGTAATTCACAATAATAAAGATAAACACATTAAAATGTATACTGTTAGTTTAACATTTTAATATTGTGCCTTTCATTTTTTAAAAAAATATACCTCAGATGTCTACAGAGGTTTCCTCTCTTGTACGTGTAGCACCCTTTCTATGGAGAATGGCCCTCTGCAAAATGTGACAGCAGCTAACCAGAGTCCATTTTTATTGTCCTACCACCTTTGCCAGCGGTTCCCTAGTTATCACTGCCAAAGGGCGCCCGATGTCCCTCACAATTCAGTCATCCAAATGATCCCCTCTCCTTCTACTCCCCCCCCCAATAACAAAAGTCTCACCTGTGTGAGCAGATCTTCCCTGTGCTGCCTGATGGCCACTTACATGATGGCTGCCCTTCGCTCACATCCTAGGTTGAAGCAGCAGGTTGCAGCTTATGAGAAATTGCAAGGTTGCCTCTGCTGGTTTTGACCCTTGTCCTCTTAATGAGGAAATATAGCGAAGTGGCTTCACTCTGGAAAGAGAGAAAGGCTGGCCCACCATTGGTTCTAGTTGCTGGATGCATTGAAAACAAGGACTGGAACCGCCTTTGTTTTTATTTTGTTTTAAGAAATGAGAAACCCCATTTTTAAGAGCTTACAAGTAAAAAGAAAGGCAAACAACAGATTTTTGGCGACAATATTTTCCTGTGGAAGTCCTGCTGAGCTTATTTAGACTTGCTTCTGAGCAGACATGTATAAACTGGCAATAGAAGATTACAATCTGAAACTTGCTTGCTAGAGGATATGTTTCTTTGAAAACGATAGGATTTATTTCTGGGAAGATTTTTTTTGAACTGTATGTGATAGGTATTTGTGTTTTGGTAAATGCTTTTTATTGGGTCATGTATCAATTTATTTATTTATTAATCAAACTTATATCGCTGCCCATCTCACAAAACATGACTGTGGACAGCAGGCTATACATTCAGATAAAACTTCAACCATTTTCATTGCTGCATTAGCAAGATAAACATGACTTTATTTTAGGCTACAAGAGATTCTTTGTATGTTTTGTGAACTCACTCTAAGAAGGGCATGAAGTTTAATTGACAAAAAGTTGCACTTATTAAAATTAAATATATCAGGGCATGTAACATCTTTTGGTGGAGGAATATTAACTTGAACAGAGTAATTTGTTTTGTTGACAGTACAACAGAAAGGAAGATTATAAAGGCAGGAAGAGAGGAACAACATCAAAATCAATTTGGAAATGGGAGGACGTGGCAGAGTGAAAGGTGGTTACAGGGGGCTAAGATGGTTTCCTCAAAACTTTACTTCTTTAGAAACTATTTTAGCTGTTATAAATGTCATGCCAGCTTATAGCTGCCTTTGCTGAGGTTAATGACAGTTGGGGGAAAAAAAGAACTCTCAGACCTTTATGCATTTTATAGAGTTATTGGCTAGCTATTGCCAGAACACAACTGAACCCAAGGGAAAGTCAAATACAAATATCTAAAACATCCATTTTCTTTTTGATAGTTAACTGGGCTGTCCTAGTATAAATAGCATCTAGATCCAGTGGGCATTTGATATTGGTACTTTAAATTTACAATATTGCAAAGTTGTGTCTTCTGCAGTAATTGATAATGGTACTTCAAAGCTGAGAACTGGCCTATGTCATTACTTTGTATTCCATACAAACCTGCTTTTGCTGATGTCTAAATTATTTTTTTTCATGTGGTTAATAAAGGGTTCATTAAGTGGCAGCATTAGTGCAAGGAAGTGTGATTGATGATTGTGATTGAAGAGGAGGAGGAAGGAGAGAAGTGGTGTTGGTGGAAGAATGCAATACATTGCTTTTTCTTGCATAGTACTTGGGACACCTGTCCATAGTGATTCCATTAGAGATGTTTATGCCAATACAGGAGAACCACCCATTCCATTGACTCTGAATTAGCCAAACTCTTTTAATCTGAGTTTCTCCCAACCCTTGTCTTATAGTTACATTTTTTAGCTATGGCAGGGCTTAGAGCTGAAAGAAGAAAGCCACCTCAGTCAGTGAATTTAGAAGACACAATGAAGAACAGCAATGTGGGGCATTAATATAAGGGCTGGTTCATAGGTCAAAATTTCTGTGAAAGCTCAGGTTGATACTTCTGGTTCAGGAAATGTTCCTAATGAAATGTGTCTTGTGTTGCTCTGTTAGAAAGGTTTTCCTCTGGACATGTTTGCCTTGTACCCATAATAATGGTGGTGTGGTGATTATTATAACCCATAACAGCTTCCTACAAGGATGAGCCATAAGAAAAACATGGAAGGGAGAGAAAGAAAAAAGCAGACATGTAGTCACGACTTTCACCTCAGTCCTTTGCAGATAACCTTGGGGCAGAGGGGGAAAATTTGAGAAAGGAAGCAACAAGAATAATCCTCTCTCCCTAATATCCTTATTTTTCTGGATAAAACATGACTAACAGGAATACGGTAGTTAAAGTGCGACAGCTGCAGCTCAGGAGGTGGCAAGCAGAAATTTCAAGAGTCGTTCAGCATCCTGTCATCTATCTATCTAAATCGTACGGCTGCCTCCAAGGTTTTGCGTCTGGATTTCTTGCTTTGCAGAGTGAATCAGTAGGCGAATGATGTAAGAGGATGAGTATGAAAGTGGACAGCGTGCCCTTCTGAGCTTTTGATGGAAGGGTGTTGCATCCAGGTGGATCTATGAATAAGCTCCAAAAGGACAGTCAGGTTTTATGGGAGGAAAGATTTCATCAAGCTCCCTCAATACATTTGTTTACGTGCCTTGCCACCACCATAGCTCCCAAGGTAGATTATAATAATGACAAGTTAAAACAATGCACTGTGATGTCATTTTGAGTTTGTTTTTAGACAGAAGCAAATTAGCCCTAATCAGAAAAACAACCCCTACAGCGAGGCAAGTAAAACCACAGCAAAAACAGTTGCTGAAGAGGTCCATTTTCAGATGCAATGCATTCTAAAATAAGTGTGTTCCACAAGATCAGCGAGACATTAAGTCGCCCATATGCTATGGGTTACTTAGGTCAAAGTTGATCCAGCAGACCTTAATTTCCACAATGAGCACAGCATTTGGCTGTCAATCCAGTACCCACTTATTCTCTCCATACCACTTTTTCCAGACATTCTACCCATCAGTGATTATGAAGAAAAGTTACAAAATACATCTTCTGTCTGGTGAAAATGATAAAAATGCAACGAAAGGTAGAAAAGACGGTAGTGGGTCTTGACATCTAGATAAATAGATTCATTCTAGGTGTTGCTTTTCCTGCTGCCCTTTTACCTGTGCCATGAAGCTCCAGTTAATGATTTATTAAGCCACGGTCATTGATTTTTACAAGTGCCTTCTCTTAAGAGATGTTGGGAGAACGAAGCTTCTGCCTGCCAGGTGAGTGAACTGAACAGGTGTAAATGAACAAGCCGGATTGTTTAGTGGTGATGATAGCATCCCTAACCCTTTAGAAGATCTGCCAAGTAAACAAGTCTTTTTAAATCACTGTGAAAAGAGTTTAATAATTAGGGCCATCGGATGTGCTGAGCTTTAAATCCAGGATAACAAAACCCTGCTATGCAACATTCTGTGTGTAAATAAATAAATAAGGTATATTGGGACTTAATATGCTGGCTTGGTTACACAGATTACTGAATCAAACAATTCCACTCCATTTTTGTCTCCTCTTGGGTGTTGTTTGAACTCAACCAGGGATGGGATTCAGCCAGTTCGCACCACTTCGGCAGAACCGCTAGCTAATTTTTCGTGGCCCAGGCCCAGAATGGACTTCCGGAAGCGGCATCCACACAGAGAACCGGTTGTTCACATATTTGAATCCCACCACTGAACTCAACCAATGAGAAATGGCTTGTATTAACTCTCCAGCTTTTCTTGCAATGTCCAGAAACATTTTTGTTTTTAACCGTTCATGACGAGCAGAATTTGGCAGCTGAGAAGTATGTGTATGAACGTGTACCTAAGTTCCTGGGCTCAGAGCCACTGGCTTTGACAACTTGTGAGATCACTCTTTGAGGGAGACCATCAGGGCCATTTCTCACATTACGTGTTTGCCACAAACTGTACACCCAATAGGGAGCTGGAGTCAGTCAGGACTTCCTTGTGAAATATGTGTTTGCAAACAGTATTTGCCACATTCTCACTTTCCATCTTCAGAAGTAGTGCTACTCTTATCATCCCTTTAGTCTGCCTCTCAAAAATGTAATTTGCAAAGTGATCCTGGTGAATGATTGGAAATATGTAAATTCCAGTATAATGAATTGGATTGTCTGGATGCCATGATTACAAATTTCAGCTGGCTTGGCCCGACTAGCTTCATTATAAAAGCAACATCGGTTGGACAGAATGTGGAACTTGCAAAGCAAGGGAGATTCATTTCCTGCATATAGATCCTGCTTCTTAAATAGAGAAAGCATGTTGTGGTTGCTTTTTAATTTGCATTTATTGTTGGGAATTCCCAATGCAAATATCAACAGATTTATTTCCTGCAGACGCTTAGTTACCCAATTTCACTGTATAATGTTGTTCATGATATGCCTAGCCAGTATTGACTCAATGCCCTGGAAGCACTGATCACATTACCAAGACTGAAGTTTTATGTTTGTGTGTGTGTGTGTGTGTGTGTGTATATATATACACTAGTTTAATTTCTACCTGTTTCCCCCCCCTCTCTCCATGTCATTTTAGTTAGGAGAGCAACTTTGCAAAGGGAGACAATCTTTGAGATGTCCTTGAACAAATGACTCTTGCTGTGATGAAGCCTTATTTTATAGCTACTCCAGGCAAAGCACATAAGAAATGCATTAGTCTCTGTAGTTATTTCCAAGAGGTTGTCTTGGAATGGGGGGAAACTTTTGGGCTAATGGGCATATTAAGAGTTTGGGGAATGTGTTGTAGATTCTCTAACAAAATAATAACCATAGAGAGGGATGGTTAGATATGGAAAAGGCAAACTGGATGTTCTCCGTAGTCCCCAGAAGGCTTACTATCATCTCCTAGTTTAGAGTTGTCTTTCCTGAGTAGATTGGCAAATTTCCAGACAAAGCATTGGAGTGCAGCCACCTGTCACTTGCATGTTCTATGCTGCATTCTTGTCACTAAAGCTTATGCCATGGCCAAACCCCAGATTATTATTGAAAATTATTATTATTATTATTATTTAGAAGGTGAATATTATATCTATTCCTGGATCAACAATTGCAGATCTGATCTCCTTTTCCCTTATTTATTCATTTGCATTTATTTAAGAGATTTTACTAAAGGCCTTAAAGCAGGGGTCTTCAAACTTGGCCCTTTTATGACTTGTGGACTTCAACTCCCAGAATTCCTCAGCCAGGCACGCTGGCTGAGGAATTCTGGGAATTGAAGTCCATAAGTCATAAAAGGGCCAAGTTTGAAGACCCCTGCCTTAAAGCTTTGAGCTTATATCTTTTATATCTTTTTTCATTAGTTATGTATTGATTCTACTGATAGTTTGAAAACAGTTTTAAAGAAGTCCTTTGGACCTTGCATGAGCATTACACCTCTCAGCTGTTCATTAAAGCTGTTCCTGTTTTTCCAGATTTCCATGCAAGCTATTACATTAACACTATGCCAGTCTTGGTGGCCCAAGATCTAAAACAGTTCTTCCAGATCATTTTTATAGCATACATTTCCCAATGAATGATACATTAATCAATTAATGTATTGTTCTACCTATTTATTATACTCCTTCAATATTTTATTGGATTGGCATTTTTTTAAAAAAGTCATAGTAAATATCAATTCCTTCCTTCTACACTCCCTCTCTCCCTCCCTCCCTTCATGAACAAAACAAAAATATAGCGATTTTCTGCTCCCAATCTTTCCTTCCCTGAATGAAAGAATCCAAACCTAATTTTTCTGGAAGGCATTGTGCCCCCCACCTCTTGTAATGCTCCAGGATCTTATTAAAGAGGAATTTAGAAAAGGGCTAGGTGTGTGCTGTGATTCTCTGTGTAAATCAGCCCTGAAGTAAATGGAACTGACAGGAGAGTGGACACAGGCTTATGTCTGTCCCATGTTGTTAGTTTTACATGTATTAAGTCGTAAATCTGTCCTACTTGTTATGCATTTTTAAATGTAATTCCCCCCTCAATAAAAACAAAATCCTGAATTTAACTTGGGTACATGTCATCAGATAATTTGATGTATTTTCTTCTAAAATGCCCATTGCTGATATAAATATTTTATAAACACTTTTCCTAAATGAATCTCTTCTTTATATTTTTTTAGTTGAAAATGGCGTCAAAAAACTCAGAGAAGAAAACATTTTTCCTCATATCAATCTGAAATATGTTGGTTGATTTGCCTAAACATGATGTCAATCTTCCCAGTTAGAGCAGACAGGAAACACAACCAGATGAGCTAATTCTAGTTCATTGTAAGCATGAACAGAGCCTTGCAAGCTTGAAAGTACAAAAGTCCCACACAATTCTCTTACATTAGGGAGGGACCTTCTGAGTTTCTTTCTCTTCCCATTTTTCTATACCATAATGGTTGATCTTGGCTAAATATGTTGTAGGAATCAGCCACTGTGGTCTGTAGCCTGTTGGTTTGGGTTCCATGCAAAGTGGGAAGCCAGCAGCTCAGTTAATACATGAAACGATGATTAAAGATAAGTCTTTGATTTTTTTTAAAAAAAACAA